AACCTCAAACTCCTGGGCTCAAGCGATCCTCCTGCCTCAGCCTTCCAAGTAGCTGGGACTACAGGCATGCGCCACCATGCCCGGCTAATTTTTTCTATATATTTTTTTAGTTGTCCAGATAATTTCTTTCAACTTTTTTTTAGTAGAGACGGGGTCTCGCTCTTGCTCAGGCTGGTCTCGAACTCCTGAGCTCAAACAATCCGCCCGCCTCAGCCTCCCAGAGTGCCCGTTGTTTTTTTTTTAGACAGTCTCGCCCTGTCACCTGGGCTAGAGTGCAGTGGTGTCACCATAGCTCACTGCAACCTCAAACGCCTGGGCTCAAGCAATCCTCCTACCTCAGCCTCCCGAGTAGCTGGGACTACAAGTACATGCCACTACACCTGGCTAATATTTTCTATTTTTAATAGAGACAGGATCAACCCTTGGCTCAGGCTAGTCTTGAACTCCTGAGCTCAAGCAATCCTCCCGCCTCGGCCTCCCAGAGAGCTAGGATTGAGGGCGTGAGCCACCACGCCCGGCCTATATTGTAACTTCCTTCTTTCAGGGACTTGAATTGGTACATGTGTTCATGTATTCATCCATTTAATCTTTTATTCTAGAAATATTTATTGAGGGCATACTGTGGATCAAACACTGTTAAAGACATTGAGAATACAGCAGCGTTCAAAGAGAGAGGCATACTGCTTACATTCTGGAGGGGTGGAGGGAGAAGACAGACTATAAACAGGCAAACAGTAAGTCACTATGACAGTTTGTATCACGATCTATGCATGAAGGCAGTAAGGGTAATGGGATAAGGTGGGACTAGGGGATGGGGAGTAACTACTTTTGTTCGTGGTCAGGGAAGGTCTCTATAAGGGATGATGTGGAGGTGCGGCCTGATTTGTATAAGAAAGTCATATCTGCAAAATTTTGAGGAATAGTGTTCTAGGCACAGGGAATGGCATGTACAAATGCCCTGAGGCAAGAATGAGCTTACCGTGTGGCTGAATCAAAGTGAGCAAGGGAGAGAATAGACTTGTGATGAGATATGAGAGGTAGATAGAGGTCCCTCTCTTAGGCACCAGGATCCTTCTGGGCTTTGCTCATCTGCTTCCCCTGACCTCTCACCCTTACCAACTCCAACACATCCTTCAGGTCTTAGCCTAGGTATAGGTCACAGGTCATTTCCTCTTTCCCTGACTATTCAGTATGTTAGATGCCCCTGCTTGTAGTACTCTGTCATTCCTTAATCATAGATTGTTCATGCTGAATGTATATTGGCCTACTTTCTCACTGTCACCCCTACCAGACTTGAAGCTCCTTGAAAGACGAGATATACATAGTTCTCATTATCAGTGCTTGGCACATAGTAAGTGTTCAGTTAATGGATGGGTGCATGGAGGTTTGGGCCATAATCCTGAAAGACACAATCCACATATGCAGTCACCCAAAGAGCGAGATCTCGAGAAATTTTACCTTTCATAAATGCAGATGTACAAAAAAGCCATCTCTTCATTTATTAAGTTTTGGCATTTTTATGTGCATACACAATACTTATACACAAAGTCAGCGTTGTGATAATGCACTTTCATGGAGTCAAATTTGAAAAAACGCACAAAAGGAATTAGAACTCTCTAAGTCTTTATACAATTTATACTTCCAGTATTGGAAATAATATGAAGAAGAAATACATAGCATAGCAAATTGGGGCTATGTGTGAAGGAGCAGAAGTCGTATACGATTGAATAATTTGGCAGGGGAGATTTCTTGCGTTTTTTGCTTGCATTTTCACTACTGTGATTTTTGCAACACTCACTGCACTTGTGTTGGAAAGTGGCTGTGGTCTACAAATTTGTAAGTATACGCTGTCCATTTGAAAGTCTGGTTATTGCTTGGCCGTTGCAATTAAGTCATTTTCTTCTTATGTGGCACCAACAATAATTAGCTTTTAAACTTTAATCTTTCACCATGAAGTAGCATCATACATTTAACTTACCACAGCCTTTTTGCAAGGGAACAATTTCACAGATTGCTTCCACTGTGTTGTAAAGGAATGATATTTGGCTTCCCCAATACCAAATCTAGCTTTTAGGATTTCAACATTATGGATTTTAATCTTTCAGGATTGTGATTTTTGAGATTTTAGACTTAAGGAATTTTTATCTTTCAGGCTTTCAACATTCAGGATTATGGTGCTCAAGGTTATGTCTTTTGAGATTACAGTTAGCACTGAGTGCATGGATGTTTGGCTGGGCTGGTGGGTGAATAAATGAATGAACAAAACAGCTGTGACACTTCTACCTGTAAGATGTTCAGATAAGGGCTTGGGATGGCTAGGAGTGATCTGAACACTGTGCTGTGACTCGCGTAGGGAATCAGCCTGCTCAGAAATGGCCCGTTCATTTTGGGCTATCTGCATTCTCTTTGGAGAACTAAATCTCTGGACGTCCATACTCTGATCACCTTGAGTAAAGTGTAACTGGAAAACCCCTGAGGCTAGACAAGCTTCTTGGACCCTCAGCAGAAATAATTTATAGACACATTTTGAGCCTGGCACAGGGCTTTGGAGTCATATCAGACGGAGTTTGAGTCCTGTTTAATGTCACTGGTTGCATGATCCTGGGCAAGAATCTGTCTGAGCTTCACTTTCAGTGCCTGTAATGAAAAAATAATAACATCTGTAGTCCTGTGGGTTTGTGTGATGAGAAGAGGCAGTAAAGTGCTTAGCTCAGGGTTTTGCATTTAGTAAGTGCTCAGGCAGTGATGACTGCTGCCGCCAGCATCCCTAGCCTTCCTGAGAGACAATTTATTGTAAGTAACCTGGTACTCACATGTGAGTGCCCTCAGTCTCTCTGGGCTTGAAGTCCTGACCTTGTGGGATTATTGTAGGGATTAGAAATGGTCTACATCAAATTCCTGGCATGCAGCAGGGCCCAACATATGGTAATTATAACTAAGCACTGGCCATAAAAATGTGGATGACCCTGACTGTGACTGCCATAGGGAGATGGAAGGTGAGTGAGCGTGGCGTGTGTGGAGCTTCAGATTGGGTCAGGTTGGAGCTGTAACAGGTAGCACGACTTGCCCAGGTAGAAGGAAGAGGAAAGGATTCTCCGGGCAGAAATGAACGAAGCAGGGAAACCCAGCAGACATGGACTAGCTTCCCTCTCTTCTTGGTCTAGTTTGTCAAGCCTTACAACTTTACAAGGGACTTTGCCAATAGCCGCTCTTCTGAGGCAAGAGGCAGCCTCAGCTTGGCAGTCTGGCTGTTTCATTTATATTGCAGCCTCGCTCTTCGTGGGAGGGAAGCCTGGAGAATTGTGGAGTATGTCCTCAGAGCTGTGAGGCCCTCTATTGTTGATTAAGGTAGAGCAGAGCATGAAAGGTAGCAGGCTATCCACCCACATCCCAGAGGGACTGTCCTAGTTAACACTAGGGAAAAGAAGAAACTGACTCCTGTCTCCATTTCTCTCCAGCTCTCTCCTTCCTTAAATGCAAGGAACTAATTCAAGTGAGCAAGCCTGCCTTAGGTCTCTCTAGATACTTTGGGCCCCTTTCTCTCCTGTCTTTTGAACAAGTCTATATTGATCGTGCCCGGGGTAGGTTCTGGCTTTTGAGCTCACCCTACTCCCAGGATTGGGGATCAGTGCTCAGGACTCAGGGCCTGTTAACACAGGTGAGCTTGTTTCTTGTGGCAGAGCTTGTGCCACTTGGCTTGGCTCAGATCAAACTCCCCAAGAATATCAGTGGCCTGGCCTTTGTCCTTGGGCTGGTGGTTTGGCCATTTAGGTAAGGTGAGTGGAGAGGGGCCCTTCCAATGCGATTACGACAGAAGGGCTTGTCTGCCAACAGGGCCAAGGCTCGACTAAGCCCCTACAAGCTGTCATTCCTCTTCCCACCTCAGTCTTTGAATGAGATTTAATATTTAATGTGTGTGAGGGTGTGTCTGTGTTTAGCATTAAGATAGAAGGAAATATGGTTCCTTATTGCCTGGTGAGATATGGGATTTGGAAGCAGCATAAAGTAATCAGTGTTCAGTTGCTTGGTAAGATCTGTTAACATCCAAGTTCTTGTGAAGAAAAGAAGTAAGAGAGAATTATCACCAATCTTAGATATATACTCTTCCCACTTGCAGGGGAAAATAAGAATTTGCTCTAAGAAGGCACGTAGCATTCTGTGATGTGCCAGAAATAGAGGGGCCCAACCCAGCAGTGATAAGCTTAGCCCTTGATATCAGTATGGGATTGTTTGGTCATTAATAATAGAACCACCCAACTTAGGGTGGCATAATCAAATTGGGTTTTAGTTTTCTCACATGACAGGATTCCAGAGAGGTAGGTAGTCCAGGCTGGTACAGTAGCTCCACGATGCAGTCAGGGACCCAGGCTCTTTGTCCCTTTCTACCCAGCGTTTAGCTTATGACTTTCATTCTTATTTTTGTCACCTTGCAATCTGGCAGAGTCTAAAGTCCAGGCAGGAAGAAAAGAAGGGTTAGTTAAGCCTGATTCTTTTAAAGACTTTCCCAGAAGACCCCACCTCGCAATTTCTGCATATATCTTATTGGCCAGAGCTACGTGACATGATCACTCTCAGCTATAAGGGAGGTTGGGAAATGGAAGCTTTTTTGCTGGGCATATTGCTGCTTTGAAAAAACTGGAGCAAAAAAGGAGAGAATAGATATTGGGTAGTCAAGACATTTGTATTTGGGGGCATACTGTGTGCCAGACACTGTGCTATGCTCTCTCCCCGCATTGTCTCCTTTAATCCTCACGACTCAAGAAGGCAAGGGCTGTTGTCCCATTTTATAGATGAGGAACCTGAAACCAGAGAGGTCGCTTGCTCAAGGTCACCCAGCTTATATGTGGTGGAGCCAGTTCTTGAATCCAGGTCCAACTGGCTCTAAACCCTATGCCCTCTGGGTTTGTCATTTTCAAAAAGTAACACATATGGCCAAAATGGTCACTGAGTGTCGGGAATTCTCCGTGTTTTTGAACAGTCACTGATTTCAGGTCTTCACGATGATAGCAGATAGCAATGACCTGCATAGCAGCCCACCTGGGAAAGACTGGCATGGACTTAGGTAAACATCTATGTTCTGCATGGCCAGGTCCTCTGAGTGACACAGTCATTGACAGCCGAGGGGTGCTTCATTCTTTCCCATCACTGTACTAAATCGAGCATTGCAGATTTCTTTTGTGACAAGTGTCCTGAGTTGAGAAGTTGTGTGTTAAATTGTTGGAAATGCAAGGAGACGGGGAGGAAACCAGAAAACCCTTTTGACTTTAAATCCCATAATTTAGTAAGTTAAATGTTTAAGTCAGGTCAGACTGGGAGTAGGGTACATTTCCTTCACCTTTCTTACCTTCACACAAATGTGTGTCTTATGTAAGTCCCAGGAGCCATGGGACTTAGGAGCTGTTCACAATCCCAAAGTTTTAGGGGCTAGAAAACGGCGTATTGGCAAGCAGACTACTATTTTTTTAGCTGCCTTCCTAAAAGTTTGTTTTGCACTCAATGCTGTTGTTAATCTTAAGAAAAGGATTTATCATCCCCCTAACAAATTTATCTCCAAGAAGTACTGGCATATATGGGAGTGTGTATACTCATGTGCACACACAGTAAGGACTAACATGTATGGTTATCGAATTAGCTCCAAGGTTGGAGTAGACCAGCAGACTCCATGATTTCGGGGTCAGTTGTTTATGAGAACAGTAGTGAATGTGGTTACCGTAATTAAATGGGGCTTTAGGGCATTCTGGCGCAGAGCGGTGGCGGGCGTAGCTAACGGGTTGGCCGCGGAGCGGGGGTGCCGCTCGGTTCCCCCCCCCCGACACCCCTCCCCCTCAGGCGCTAGCCCCAACCCTCCGCCAGCCGGGCCGTCCCAGTCCAACTATCCCCTGCGGCGCTCCGGGCGCCCCCCAGCACACTCCCAGTCCAACTATCCCCTGCGGCGCTCCGGGCGCCCCCCAGCACACTCCCCATCGTGGGCAGCCAGAGCTCCAAGGCTCCCCGGGGCGACGTGACCACCGAGGAGGCAGCAGGCACTTACCCCGCGAAGGCCAACGGACAGGAGAATGGCCACGTGAAAAGTAATGGAGACTTATCCCCCAAGGGTGAAGGGGAATCGCCCCCGTGAACGGAACAGATGAGGCAGCTGGGGCCACAGGCGATGCCATCGAGCCAGCACCCCCTAGCCAGGGCGCTGAGGCCAATGGGGAGGCCACCCCCAAGGAGACCCCCAAGAAGAAGAAGAAATTATCTTTCAAGAAGCCTTCCAAATTGAGCGGCCTGTCCTTCAAGAGAAATCGGAAGGAGGGTGGGGGTGATTCTTCTGCCTCCTCACCCACAGAGGAAGAGCAGGAGCAGGGGGAGATTAGTGCCTGCAGTGAAGAGGGCACTGCCCAGGAAGGGAAGGCTGTTGCCACCCCTGAGAGCCAGGAGCCCCAGGCCAAAGGGGCAGAGGCTAGTGCTGCCTCCAAGGGAGGAGACACAGAAGAAGAGGCAGGGCCCCAGGCTGCAGAGCCGTCCACTCCCTCGGGGCTGGAGAGTGGCCCTACACCGGCCAGCGCTGAGCAGAATGAGTAGCTGGGTGGGGGCAGGTGGGTGATCTCTAAGCTGCAAAAACTGTGCTGTCCTTGTGAGGTCACTGCCTGAACCTGGTGCCCTGGCTGCCTTCCTGTGCCCAGAAAGGAAGGAGCTATTGCCCCCTCCCAGCGACGTCCCCTCTCCTCCTTTCCCTCCTGTGGATTCTCCCATCAGCCATCTGGTCATCCTCTTAAGGCCAGTTGAAGATGGTCCCTTATAGCTTCCCAAGTTAGGTTAGTGATGTGAAATGCTCCTGTCCCTGGCCCTCCCTCCCTGGTCCCACCCCTGCAGAAGGCAATTGTTGGTTTTCTTCCCCAATTCTTTTCCAGGTAGGTTTTGTTTACCCTATTCCCCAAATCCCTGAGCCAGAAGTGGGGTGGTTATACTCCCAAACCTTGAGTGTCCAACCTTTCCCCTGTTGAGTTTTTAGTCTCTTGTGCTATGCCTAGTGGCCCCTGGGCTGGGGAGGACACTGTCCCTGTCTAGGTTTTTATAAATGTCTTACTCAAGTTCAAACCTCTGGCTTGTGAATCAACTGTGTCTCTTTTTTGACTTGGGAAGCAAGTATTAGGCTTTCGGGTTGGGGGGAGGTCTGTAATGTGAAACAACTTCTTGTTGTCTTTTTTTCTCCCTTTGTTGTAAATAACTTTTAATGGCCAAACCCCAGATTTGTACTTTTTTTTCCTAACTGCTAAAACCATTCTCTTCCACCTGGTTTTACTATAACATTTGGAAAAGGAATAAATGTTGTCCCCCCCCCAAAAAAATGGGGCTTTAGGGTCATCTGGCTTTGAAGGCAAGGGCTATTTTCTGTACTGCTTTCTTTACCCCCCAAGTGCCTGTCCCAGTGGGGCTATATAGGTACTCAGTAAATATGTGGTGACTGATTAGTAAAGAAATAAAAATTGACATTCCAGTTGGTTAGGCTGAGACATAGCACCCACAATGCTGGGGTCTGGAGAATCCGCCATTTTCCTTTCGTTCTAATGTCATACGCATAGGTGGCATATTTGCTTCCCTATCTGGCTTTTATGACAAGGTGCTGTTTATCTTTGGGGTATGGATAACAAGGAGATACAGTTACTTGGGTTTCACAATTGGAGTAACCATTGGAAATAGCAGAGCAAGTGAAACCGAAACAGTGTGCTAGGCTATAAAGCTTCAGAGACTTGGCTAAAGTGTGACCCAGAGGGCAACCAGAGCTTTAATCATCTCTGCAGCAGCCTTAGCACGTCCTCCGTGGGTGGTTTCCTGAATTTGAGAAATAGTAAAAAGATAAAGGCCAACTTAGGCAACTTGAAGACTGCCGGTTTGGGTTACACTGATCTGATTATGGAGGATTAAAGGACGAAAGGAAAGACAAAGTTAAAACCTGTCACATGTACATTGTGGAACAGAGTTGTCCCTTTATAAGCTTACAGTAAAAATTACTTTTCCTTTAAGTTAGGCCCCTATTTCCCTACTACTGAAGCTTATAGACACATTGAACATTGGTGATGGAAGGGCCCTCAGAGATCACTATTTCAATATGTCATTATAAAATGATGTAATAGGCAGGACCCTTTCCAGTATAGGTAACAGTAACCAAACTCAAACTAAGTTAAATGAAAAAGGGAATTTATTGGTTCACAACCAAAATGTCCAAGGCTATATCTAGTTTAGGTATGGCTAGATCTAAGGAGCTCTTTAGGATTCTGTTTCTCTCTATCTGCTTTCCTTGGTGTTGACTTCATTCTCAAACAGCATCTTCCCATGTAGTTGCAGCAGCTCAAGACCAGCTCCAACCCAAGTCCCAGGGCTAACTTTGACCTGCATTGGTCAGCCCCTGAACCAAGTACTGAGACTTCAGAGCCACAGCTGGACATGAGCAGTAGAGTCAGAGCACCCAAACCACATGCATTGAGAGTGGGGGGAGGGTGGTCCCCAAATGAAAATTGAAATGCAGTTATCAGAAGGGCAATGGATACAGGGTGAGGGGTAGGGAGGGAAGATGTCCTCTAGTGATGGTAAAAAGGAGGTCCAAAGAAGCATTAATTTTTTTCCCAAAAGCTTGGGGTTTCCATGGAAAGGGCATCAGTACGTTAGTACATAGACAGAAGTGTGATTGCTTTTCTCAGTTCTCCATGCCAAAGTTAAGGCCAACAGGCCTACACACAGTGAGAAGCAAACCCGGGGCTGGAGGTCGTAGGGTTGTATTTTCACTTTATGTCAACATTCTAACTAGCTCCCAGACTGGGTTGATTCTGCCCTCAATCTGTGCTGATTATTGGTAGTTGAGATTCTGAAGTTGTTGTAGATACACCTGGTGTCTGACTACTGGGCTGTAAATGCAGCAGCTTTTCTATTACTCTCGTGTTGACATGGAGACCCCTCTGGCTTGGCCACTTGAGGAGTGATGGCTTTTAAGGGTGTGACCTTTTCAATAAGGAGTGTAGAGACCAGCTGCCCCATCTAAGGGTCCCTGGTAGTTTTTCTGGTGCATCTGGGCTGGGCTGGAGTATGTTCCCTGCCTTTACAATATAAATTCTGCAAAGCTTGTGGAGCCACTGTGGTGTGCCTGGTGCTAGGTGATGGGGATGCAGATAACTAGGACCCTGCCCCAGGGAGGCAGGGAGAAAGGCAGCCGTAATAGGAGGTGGCCCTGAGAGAGGAGCCCTCCACTATGTCCCGGAGCTCGTCCTGTAGCCTCAGTGCACACCCTCACCTACCACCCCAATCCCCATTCTCCTTTTCAGTTTCCGGGTTCACGTGTGTGTGGGCCAGGCATACACATGGAGAGGCAACAGAGAGCAGAGTGTTCCAGCTGTATGAGCTTGGGCAAATTATCAGTCCTCACTGTGCTTCAGCTTCCTTTCCTCTAAAATCTGACTAATGCTACTTCACAGAATTGTTATTAGGTCAGTGTTATTGTGACTTCTTGTGTGAGCTGTTCCCTGATAAGTTGTCATATAAAAGGGTTGCCATACCTATTCTCTATTCACCGTTGCTGAAGAGTGTTAATTATGCTGTCAGGTGTACTCTGGGCTGTGACAGACACCAGTGGGAGAGATGCTGGGCTTGGAAGCTTCCTGTCCAAGCCCCAGATACACAGATGGACAAATAGCAAAAAGGGAAGGCAGGATCAGTAGCATAGGGTAGGATGGGAGCACAGAAATGGTCTTCATGAGAATGTCACATGTATAATTTACTCATTCTTTCATTCAGAAGTATTTCTAGACTACCTGTTCCATACCAGTCATTGCACAGAAGTTCTAAGTATAGTATGACTGGCCAGATGGGCCACTGGCCAGAAGGAACTCATAGTCTAGTTGGGAGCTAGATTGAGTGATGGTCACCCAGTTATGATCCAGTGTGATTAGTGTGCCAACGGGGTCAGCATAAAGTCCCATTCTAGAGGAGAAGTGTGTGTTAGGGATGGCTTCCTGGAAGAGGTGATATTTAAGCCAGATCCTCAAAGGAGTAGAAGTTAGGCAGGCAGAGTGAGGGCATGAGCACGAAAGGTGTTCCCGGCAGAGGGAATAGCCCGTACAAAGGCCTGGAGGTAATTGCGTGTAAATCGTGTTCAGTGTGGCATCTTGTCTGTGGAGCAAGCTGAATATGCTGCTGTCGTTGCAGGGACATGGAGAAGGTGGAGCGGCAAGCGGTTCCCCAGGCCAACCACACAGAGTCCTGTCATGAGTGTGGCCATGTGGGACCTGGACACTCAAGGGATTGTCCTCATCACGGCCATGACGACTTCTTTGGCTTCGAGAGGCAGGAGCAGGAGGGGGAACGGTACCGTGCCCAGAGGGACCCGCTGGAGGGCAAGCGGGACAGGAGCAAGGCCAGATCTCCATACTCGCTGGTTGAGGAGGATGCCTTGTTTGTGGATTTACCTGGTGGCCCAAGAGGCCAGCAGGCGCAGCCCCAGCGGGCAGAGAAGAACGGCGTGCTGCCTGCCTCATACGGCCCAGGAGAGGAGAATGGGACTGTTATGTACCAGCGGGCCTTTCCTCCCAGGATCAACCCTGAAAAGCACAGCCAGAGGAAGAGCAACCTGGCCCAGGTGGAGCACTGGGCAAAGGCCCAGAAGGGGGATGGCAGGAGGTCAGTAACAGACTCAGGATTGCTGCTAATAACGAGCATGATAATGTAATCACAATAGCTACCACTTACCCAACACTTGCTGCGTAAATGCCAGCCTTAAACTCTGTACCTCCATTATCTACGTACATCCCCACAACTAAGCCAGCAAGGAAGGGGTGATATTCTTAATTTATAGACAGAGAAACTGGGGCTGGGAGAAATGAAGGAAACTTCCTAGGGCACATAGATAAGTGGCATAAGCCAGAGTTCAAAGCCGGTCTGTGAGCCTCCAAAGCCCTCAATTACACACTTTTCTGTTCCCCAGGAAGAATGCCTTGAGACATTCAGCATTAGATGGTAATGGTCTTCTCTTGTGCTGCTGCTTCTCTGCATCTAAAAAAATATTTGTAGAAACCAGAATAAATACAGATTCATTTTTAATTCCAGGCACATAGAGAAGTGCTTAGGCACTATTGACATTAGGCTTTATCACACCCATTCCTTCAAGAAGTGGTTTTTAATTATTCAGAAGGCATGCATCTCTTGCTGTTTGCAAAGCACTATCTTTCTTTATTATAATTTTAGATTAATTAGGACACGTTTATGAACATGAAGAATTCAGGGTCACTAGCTTCTCTGTTGTCCCCAGAAGCCACTGTGTTTTGTCTTCGTTATGAAGACATGGCAAATTCCCCTCACTATCCTCAGGCTTCTAAAATAAACCACTGACAAGAGAGGCGATAGCAAAGCCAATGTGCATTCAGAGAGCTCCCCAGGGGCTGGAGTGGTCGCAGTTGATGTGCCAGCACTCAGACCAAGTCTGTCACAGGCCTGATAACATGTTCTAAAATGCCGCACTTCATTCTTCCTTTTGGTGAGGCCCAGACTTTCTAGCTATGGCTCTGGAGGTGGTATGCTCCTAGAAGAATAGCTAGGCCTGCTTTCAGGTATGTGGGTGTGTTGTGCATTTATGGGTTGCTGTAAACCCCTTTAATCTGGTCCAGCTGGGCAATTGTGTGGGTGGACAGTGGATGAATCACAGTGGAAACCCCCTAAGTGACTGATAGACACTGTTATGGAA